TGAGTAGTATTCCATTGTGTAAATGTCCCATAGGTGTTTTACCCACTCATCTACTGATGGACACTTGGGCTGCTTCCATATCTTGATGATTGTAAATAATGCTACAATGAACAGGGGGCGCTTATGTTCTTTCAAGTTAGTGTTTTTGAATCCCAGAAGCAATATAACTGGGTTGAAAGGCAGATCCATTTTTAATTTTTTTGAGGTGTCTCCACACTGCTTTCCATAGTAGTTGTACCACTCTGCATTCCCACCAATAGTGCAAAAGGGTTCCCCTTTCTTCACATCCTTGTCAGCACTTGTTGTTTGTTGAACAATTGACAATCGTTATTCTGAAAGGTGTGAGATGATATCTTATTGTGGCTTTAATTTGCATTTCTCTGATGATTAATGATGCTGAGCATCTTTTCATATATCAATTGGCCATCTGCATGTCATCTTTGGAGAAGTGTCTATTCAGATGCCTTGCCCATTTTTAAATTGGGTTGTTTGTTTTTTTGGTTTTGAGTTTTGTAAGTTCTTTATACATTTTGGATATTAACCCCTTATCAGATGTATTGACAAATATGTTCTTCCATTCTGTGAGCAGTCTTTTTGTTTCGGTGATGATTTCCTTTGCTGTACAAAAGTTTTTTAGTTTGATGCAGTCCCATTTGTTTATTCTTTCTTTTCTTTTGTTGCCTGGGAAGATATATCCAATAAAAATTTGCTACAAGCAATTTCCAAGATTTTGCTGCCTATGTTTTCTTCTAGGATTTTTATGGTTTCAGGTCTAATATTTAAGTTTTTAATCCATTTTTATTATTCTTGTGCATGGCATAAGAAAGTGGTCTAGTTTCATTATTCTGCATGTATCTGTCCAGTTTTCTCAACACCATTTATTGAAGAAACTATCTTTAGTCCATTGTATGTTCCTGCTTCCTCTGTCAAACATTAGTTGTCTGGAAAGGTGTGACTTTATTTCTGAGCTCTCTATTCTGTTTCATTGATCTATCTGTCTGTTTTTATGTCAGTACCATGCTGTTTTGATTACTATGGCCTCATAGTATCGTTTCATATTAGGTAGTGTAATTCCTCCACCTTTGTTCTTTTTCAAGATCACTGTTGCTGTTCAGGGACTTTTGTGGTACCATATAAATTTTTGAAATATTTGTTTTAGTTGTGTGAAATAGGTCATTGGAATTTTAATAGGAATTGTGTGGAATCTATAGATTGTTTTGAGTAGTATGGACATTTTAATGATGTTAATTCTTCCTATCCACGAACATGTTGTGTGTGTCCTCTATCTTCTTCAGTTTCTTTCTTCAATCATATAATTTTCTGAGTACAGGTATTTTACATCCTTGGTTAGGTCTATTCCTAGGTATTTAATTCTTTTTATAACAATTTTGAGTGGGATTGTTTTCTTAATTTCTCTTTCTATCTTTTTTAAATCAAGTTAATTTAAAAAAGTAAACTTATTTAGTTGGCCTTGAGGAGGCTTGCCTACTACTCTTTAGCATCATATCAGCTTTATTCTCTTGACTAGTTCTGGGCTACAGAAGGCCTTTGTAGACTGCATGATACCTTGTCTACCTCTGTGTGGGGCAGTGTAGGTGTGCTCTCCCCAGAACTCTGTGATCTCCTCTTCTTGAGAACAGAGGTCACATCCTACTCATCTTCATATCTAACATCTTGTTCCATAAATGTGAATGGATTAAAGGTGTAAATGCTTAATTCTGCTCCCATTCAGTTTTTGATAGGTGGCAGATCATGTAACACTTAAAGAGGAGTGTGCTTGTCCTCATTAGTGGGTCATAGAATGACAGGTGTAGAAGCCTAATCGAGGAAACTGGAAATGTCCCTCCCCCTCTGATACTGTGCATATGCCGTGTGGAGTGTGTGTTTATTGTCCCGTTGGCTGCTCAAGATGGACTGTCCGTCACACTATTGTTTAGGTCACTGTTATCTATTCCTCTCTTAATTTTAATTTTATCTGATGCTCAGGTGGAAAAGGGGATTATATGAGAGATTTTTACTAAATAGCATTTAATCCCAAATCATTTAAAACAAGGTTTTCAAATGGATTTTATGATGCCTGAGATAGTTATAGAATCAGCTAAGTATTAATCACCTGCTGGGTGTTGAGAACTGTGGTCAAAAGAAGTAAAAAATGTTTCCTCTGGAAACTTTTTTAACTAATTATAAGAACTATAGCATATCACACCTGTAGTCATTAGAGTCCAGCATGAGATAGTACTCATTAAAGTGCTGACATTTTTAATAGCTATGTTATAGCAATCTGATTAAGGAGGATGAACCACCATTATTGGGCATTTAAGTGTATGCCTCTATATTGGATAAGTTTGAGTTATTATTTTTATTTTTAGAACCAAGAAAAGATCCTATGAAATAGCTAATTATCCTTACCTTTCAGAAGAGCAAACTTAAGCTCAGAAAGTTTCAGCAACTTGCACAGGTCATATAACAAGTAAAGGTCATGATCAAGATTCAAACCCTAATCTGTGACCTACTAAGCCTATAAATTATCTTCCCACCTCCCCCCAGGACTATTCAGAATGGGCTGGTATAATCAGCAAGTCTTCATGGCAGGGGTGGAACTTGAGCTTAAGGATTTCATACAAGATTTGATAGGTAGGAAGTAAATGTGTAGTATCTGTCAGCATCCTGAAGGGAAAGAGATGGAAAACTTGAAGTGGTCATTAAAGAAAGTTTCATGAAGGGTCTATTTACAAAGGTGTGCGGAGTTATGGAGACCAACAAGGGGAAGTGAGGCACTCAGGAAAGGTTCCCACCTCGAGGCTTGAGGAAAAGGGGAGAGAATGGCATGGCATGAACCCAGTGTGGCCATGGGCAGACAGATTTCCCCAGCAGCTGTGCCCAGGTTAGAGAGTCCCTTGCCAGACTTCACCCAGGTGGTGAGGGAATGGAGTAGGTGTGGAGGGAACAAACCCAACCTCCCTCTCCTCATGCCCCCACATCTCCTGTTCAGCCTCCCGCTCACAAGGGACCCAGTGTGGTATGGTCTGTGGAGGTCAACCTCAGGGCATAGACACTGGCACCGAACAGGGCAAGAGGAGTGGAGAACAGATCTGGGAACAGACAGGGAATGGCAGGGCCTTTCCCTGTCATTCTCTGGGAACAGACAGGGAATGGCATTGTGAATGCCATTCCCTGCCATTTCCCTGCCATTTCCCTGCCATTCCCTGCCATTCCCTGCCATTCCCTGGGAACAGACAGGGAATGGCAGAGGAGTGGAGAACAGATCTGGGAACAGACAGGGAATGACAGTGTTATGGCAGGGAAGGAAGCAGCACCTGCACAGCTGGAGGCTGAAGGGCTCCCGTGGCCTCTGCTGGGGCCTGTACAGGGTCAGAGGGTCTGATCTGGAGGCGCTGGGAGATACAGGTGCAGAGGCGTGTTGGAATTCCCAAACGTCAAGTAAAGGCACTTGATCTTAAGTCAATACTCAGTAGTAAGCCAATTTTGTTTCATATATGTTAATGTTAATTTATTTCTTTTATAGACCAGAGAGCTAGGGAGATGGCCTAGAAGAATCACAGAGGGAGGGAGGCAAGGGTGCGAGCAGACCAGAGGTAGCTAGCTGCTGTCCACCGGGCAATGCGGGAATGAAGGCAGGTTGCCTCAGAGTTCATCTCGCTCTCTCTATTCCAGTGACCTACGGGATGATGAGCTCCGGTGTGTACTACTACACTCGCATCATGTCACAGCTCTTCCTAGACACCCCAGTGTCCAAAACGGAGAAAACTAACTTTAAAACTCTTTCTTCGATGGAAGACTTCTGGAAGGTATTTGCAAATGGCTTGGAAAGTAACTCTTTATCATGGAAAATTGTTCCGTTAGCCTCGTAAGTTCAGTTTGGCAGTATCTGCAGGGCCTGAATGTAAGATGGGAAAGGTATGGTGAGTTGTTACAAGTGTGTAGCCTAACACCATGCTGAGTGTTTCATACTTAACTTGTTTAATCCCTATAGTAACCGTACAAGGTAAGTACTAATATTCTCCATGTTGTAAATGAATCTCTGTTTGATTCAGAGTGATTCCACATGGCCAGGGAATAAGAAAAATGGACTTTCTTCTAGTCTGACAGAGACTTCCTCACTTAGTTTATCGTTCATGCAGTCATTCGTGATTCAGTAAATATCTATTGAGTATCCCTTAAGATGTAAGGCTCATAGTGCAAAAATTCATTGTTTTGTCTTGCTTTTTTTCCCTTTATTGTGTCTTTGTTGATGATGGCAGGTACCTTAGGACAGTGTGTGGTACGAGGCAGACACAGTCTTTCAAAGATCTCTAATGTAAAATTCAACCCAGCATCTTACCAAATTGTCATAATTCCAGCATGGTAGCAGAGGAAAAGCAATGAATGATACCATAGGAAGAACATTAAAGTAATCTGGAAGATATGCGGTTCAGAATCTACAACAAATGGGGAGGGGAGAATTGGAAAGAAAATGATTGTTTTTCCCTGAGGAGATACGTTCTAAAATTTTATAAAACCCTGGGGTCAGAGCTGTTTATTTTAAAGAAAGAGGAAACTGGATCACAGGAAGGTGTTCATTCTAAAGCATAGAAACTTAGATAATATGAATATTTTCCTACTTCAGTGGTGCAAATCAGTTCATCTCTATTGATCATCTGATAAGACACTGAGAAAGGCTAGATTTCTTTCCAACTGGCAAACTAACAAGAAACTTCACACAATTCTACGCTGATAAATGCCAAGCCCTAACAGCAGGTAGGTGGGGTTGGAGAGTCACCATAGGGAAAATTGCCCAAACAATTAAAGGATCCACCAGATGGCAGACTAGTAATCCAAATCTACAGACTTTTCCTTTCTAAGCAAGCTTAGAACGATGATTATTAATTATTGATTATTTTAACAAGGTACAATGAAGTGGATAATGGCTGTGGGTTTATGTAAATAGTCTGGTCTACCCCCACCTTCAGTCCTAAAGCAAAAATCAGAGTTTCCATTTAGTAAGTGCCCACCATTTGCCTATTGCTCTGTGGAATGATACAGAGAAAATTATCATGACCACTACACAGGGATGACACACAAATTTGTAAAGTGTTATATATTTTTTAAAAAGAAATGCATTCTTCATTATTCATTTGAAATATCATGTGCACTTTAAAAAATTAAAACTCTCAACAATAGCATCCTATCAATTTGGTGGCCCCAAACAAAACACTGCCAAAAACAAGTATTTTGAAAGGCATTTATGAAAATACATTGTACAAAGTCCTATCTAGAATTTTAAAAAATAAATTAATATTCACAATATTTCTACCACAACTCCCAAATTTAGTTATATATAGGAAATTTTGATTTATTTATTTATTCTATAATTATGAAACACCTATATACACTTTATCCATTTTATCTGCAAAGGCACCATTTCTAGTTCTAACAAAACTGAAAAAATGCTACTTTATGTACTTATTGTATATTTAAGGACTTTTGTGCAATATATATAAAACTTAAGAAAATCAGTCAGTACCATTTTTTTATTTTTCTGAAAATACAGCATTTACACAGAAGAGATCTTAACTCAATAAAATTTAAATGATTTTAAAGTTAAAACATCTATAACACTTAAGTGCCTTGCAGATATCTCATTTATAAACTCTGCTCAGTAAAATAGTCTAAATATTAAATATTAACTAGAATCAAAATGAGTCTCACAGGAATCTAGTGAGAATGGCCAACAGTCATAATAAAAGGCAAATCCCAACCAAAGCCAGTAGAAAGTGCTACTGTAAAAAAAATTATAATCATTATGTAGTGGTTTCATGAATTTGCCTCACTGGACAATCTCCTTTGTTAACCTTCAATGGAATAAAAACATGAGCCTCGAAAAGACTTAGAGCATGTTAGTGTTTTCTTTTCAGCAAAACTGAAAACAGAACCTGAAAATATCAAAAGATTGGAATTCTTGGTTTCTGTTCATACTGTGAAGTGAAAACTGCAGGCTTATGCCAATGGGTTGAGCCTCATTGAGACCTGAAAACTCTGTGTACATACTTGTTTAGATCCATGTCACCTTTCAAATCGGTTGTAGTAACCACACGAAAGAGGGACATTACAGGTGTGGGAACCCAGGCCCAAAGGAGGATCCTGCTCCAAGCCTCACAACTAGCAAATGATGGAGTAAGATCCAACTTTAATCTCTCTGACAGCAAAACCTACCCTTGTCATACTACTGTGTTCACAGAGCGCTATGCTGTTGGTCATGCAAACATTCCAGGAAGGAACAAGGCAGCCACTGAGCTTGGGGCTTTTCAAAAATGTTTCCTGTTCTTTCAGTTCACAGAAGGTGCCTTACTGGACGGGCTGTACTGGAAGACACAGCCCAGCCACAGAAACGAAGCTGACAACCGAAGCTTCATCTACTATGAAAACCTCCTGTTAGGGGTACCACGGATACGGCAACTCAAAGTCCGAAATGGATCCTGTTCTATCCCCCAGGATTTGAGAGATGAGATTAAAGAGTGCTATGATGTCTACTCTGTCAGTAGTGAAGACAGGGCTCCATTTGGTCCAAGAAATGGAACCGCGTAAGTGTCTGTGGCTTGTGGCCATGTCCCCTGGCCTCTCACTGACATTCATTCATATTCATTCATTCATTCATTCTCTGACCCCTTCACGTAAGGAGAAGATGCCTTAAGTGAGTCTTCAATACTTACATTTAAGGCTGTGATCAAATTGACCTTTGGTTTCTCAAGTTTTCTCTAATTTTTACCCCCTTTCATCTTCTACATACATATTTTTCATAAAGCTAAATCATGGATTGTATGATCCACAAGAAAGAAGTTACTGGCCTTTGGAGGTTTCTTTTAAGATGCCTGGATTCTACTTTTGTAGCTGCAGCAATATCATTCATTAGGTTATTACTAGGGAATTTTCTGGTACAGAAATTGCTTTATGAGCTCTTAGAAACAAATTTCTGTTCAGAGTGCAAGTATTTAAAGTGGATAATAAGCCTGTGAGGCAATTTTTCTGTCTGGTTTAAACCCATCCTTCTCAAATGTGTGTTTATGACTTTGAGTATGTATTTGTAATGTGTATATTTACAAGGACTATCTTATGCTCTTTGGCATACTTATCAAACATCTTGTTTATTAAGGGAGGATAGTCGTTATTTTTAGAATCACTATAGTTATTATAAATAAATGGTAACTCTCAGTCTTTTCCAAGGTGGACGTTGTGGAGGTCACTGCCCTGGGCGAATTATGGTGGTGAGAGCCGCCATCTTAGCTCTACAAACCTAATTCGATCAGTTCACCTAGATCCCTTTTCTGGGAGCTGAGGCTCCCGGAATCCATACTGGTTCGTATACAGTGGGGGAAGCACCTTTTCCATGATCAGATTCTTTGTGATCTAGTGTGTACCCTATTTAATGCCAGGGTCCATAAGAAATTTAGTAAAAATTTAGTAAAAATTCAGAGTGAAGAGACTAAACTCAGACTTTTTCCAGGTTCTGATAGTGATTTTCCTTTCCCATCCTCCTTTTTCTAGTTCATGCAAAGCATAAGCTGCCATTAAACTGTGGTACATTGTCCAATATTTTACTTTATCTCACATCATAAATAAGAGAAATGTATGTAGTCACTACTCCATACCACATGCTATTTAAGAAATGATTTTTACCCATTATCTCATCTGTTCTTCACAAACAACTCTGAAATAGGTATCATCTCCATTTCTTAGATGTAAAAAACAAAGGCTCCCTTACCCAAAGTTCCACAGCTAGTAAATGGAACCAAGCTGGGGTTTAACCAGCCTGACTCCAAAACCTGTGTTTTCTTCTATTATATCAGTTATGTTGTTAAGGTGGCTTCTTGCTGCCCTCAGCTCCCCATCAGTCTTCAAGCTTCCTGAGGGCAGGCACTCTGTTGTGTTCACTGCTATATTCTCAAAACCTTGAACAGTACCTGGTCTGTAAATATGCTCAAGAAATGCCTAATGGGTGCATGGATGAATAAGTGATTTCCATTGCAGGGTGAACTACTGAAGAGGATCTTTCTTATGTGTACCTAAGCTACCCCTTGATACTGCCGTATCCTCAGGTTACTCTCATTTCTCCTTCCTTTCAACTCTAGACTTCTTGAAACAACAGTCTTCACTTGCCACTTCCACTTCTTTACCATTGATTCTCCCCTTAAAGCTTGAAACCCTTGTTTTTCAGAACTCTCTTGAAAGCCACCAGCGACCTCTAATTAACAAACCCACTGAACAATTCTGTTTTCATCCTAATCAGCCTCTCTGCAGAGTGTTCCAGTGTTGGTAGTTCATTCTTTTGACTCCTGTGAGTGACACTGAACTTAGATTCTCTTAATTCTGTAACCCCTTCTTTTTTCCTCTCTCCTGTTTTACTCCCATGTTGAATATTCATATCTCTGCCTTTTCTTTCCTTATATTCTTTCCCTCAAAATTTAGATAGCTTCCACTCTCATCTCTATTTGATATTCATCATCTCTTCAACAAATATACTGAGTGTCAACAAGTGTCCAGCATGTTCCAAGTGATGTCTTTTTTTTTCCCTAGTACTGCCTTGGGAGCAGCTGTGACCAAAGCAGAATCACGTCTCTTGTCTTCACAGACCTTCCATTCTAGTGATAGAAGACAAATATATTCTGTCTGTATGTCCTAGTATTCAATATGCTCCAACCTGAACTTGTCCCTTTCTTGTTGGATTTGCTCTCTTCCTGCTGATGGCACCACTATCTTCACATTGCCCCCAATGAGAGTACAGAGGCTTCTGTGAGATATCCCTTCTCCCTTGGCCCGGCTTCCAAACCAGTTGCCGAGCTGCATTGACACTCACTGCTGCAGAGGCACTCTTTGTCCTTCCTTCCTCTTCCCACCGTCACTGCTCTGGTTCAGGCCTCATCACCTCTTAGTCATTGCAGGAGTTACTGACTGTGCTGCATCAGGGTGCCCAGCCCTGGGACTCATAGCACTCAGCATATAGCCATATACATGGCTAATGTTCATTACAGTTAGATCATAATGCAAAGGCAGCAAAAGGTGCAGGCACGTGGGGCAAAGTCCAGATGAAACAAAGGGCAAGCTTCCCAGTCCTCTCCCAGCAACTTCACATGGGATGGGCTTAATTCCTCTAGTAACCATGTGTAACAACATGTGTGAAATCTTATCTGCCAGAGAAGTTCATTAGATTTTTAGTGCCCAAGATATTAACTGGGTGCTGGTCAGCTAGGTACCCTCTGCCTGGCATGCACCAAAATTCCAGACTCCCAGAAGGAAAGCCTAAGCCACCTTAGATGTACAGATATCTTAGTGAGCCACTCTTGCCAGCCAGGGGAAGTTTTATATCAGTTTAGGGATCTATTTATCATTCACATTCCAGATGGCAACAAAGGTCCAACCTTCCCAGCAGGGCTTCTTTTTTTTTTTTTTTACTTTTAAATCATGTTTATTCTATTGCAGTTGTCTCAATTTTTTCCCCTTTGCCCTCCTCCACCCGTCCCACCCCCACCCCTGGCTTCCAGAGTCAATTCCCGCTCTGTTGTCCATGTCCATGGGTCATTCATATGTGTTCTTTGCCTAGTCTCTTCTCCTTCTTTCCCCCATTGTGCTCCTTCCCCATCCCCTCTGGTCACTATCAGTCTGCTCCATGTTTCCATGCCTGTGGTTTATTTTGTTCATTAGTTTATTCTGTTGAATAGATTCCACTTATATGTGAGATCATAAGGTATTTGCCTTTCACCGACTAGCTTATTTCCCTTAGCATAATATTCTCCAGTTCCATCCATGTTGTCACAAAAGGTAGGAGTTCTTTCTTTCTTCTTTTCTAAATGCAGATTGATTTTATTTATTTTTTCAAATGTCAAAATCGATTATAAAATATTTAAAAATTTAAAACCATTATAAAGTCTCTGCATTTAAAGAACATGACACCAGCACAGAAACAGTCAAGTAGGTCCATGAAATATAATGAGCATTCTAGAAACAAACGTATATAGCTGTCTAACAATGTAATAGATGATTAAATTGATATTTTAAATCAATGGTGAAAATAAGGCTTATTCAACAAATAAGGTGCATGGACCACTATTACT